ATTGGATCCTTGATCTTCATCAGTAAGTGTTTCAAGTTCTCCTCAGTTTCAGCGAGCAAGATTGTGTCATTTGCATATCACGGGCTGTTAATAAGCCTTCCTCCAATCCTGATGTCACATCTTTCTTCATATAAGCCAGCTTTTTGTTCAGGATACAGATTGAGGAATATGGTGAAAGGATACAGCCCTATTGTTGCACAACTTTCCTGATTTTAAACCTTTTTCTGTTTGCACAACTGTCTCTCTTTTTTTTCACCAAAAAATATTCTTTATTGGGAACTAATACAAATATCATATAATTCCATAGTTCAATCACATCCATCAGTATGTACAATTGCTACCACAATCAGTTTCATAATCGACATTTCCCTCTTGAACTCGTTGATATCAGCTCCCTTTTACCTCCCTCCCCTCTTTTACCCCCAAGAACCTTTACTCTACTTGCTGTCTCTATAGGCTCATCAACCCTGGATTTCACATACCAAAAACCAAAAGAACGTATAGCAAAAATTCAAGAGGGCTACCCCCAATGACAAAATACATTAGAGATCAACCCCAATATGGAAAAAACACAGAAAACAGCACAACTGTCTCTTGATTCATGTACAAGTTCTCCACGAGCCCAGTGAAGTGCTCTGGATTTCCCATGCTTTTCAAGGCTCTCCATACTTGTTATCCACTCAGTCAAATGCCTTCTCATGGGCAAAACACAGAAAATCTCTACCTGGTCTTATCTGCTTTCAGCCAAGATCCATCTGACACCCACAATGATATCCCATGGTTCCACGTCCCTTTATGAATCCGACCGGGACCTCTGGTAGTTCCCTGTCAATGCAGTGCTGTAATCAATCCTGTGCCGTTCTCACAACTCTTCTTATGTTTTAGCCCATTTCAATCGGCGTTCCATCCATTTCTGGAACCTTGTACTTGACAAATGCTTTCAGTGCAGCTTGAACTTCTCCCTTCGGTACCATTGGTGCTCGCTTGTATGCTACTTCTGGAAATGGTATGCACATAGACAGCATGTGCTTTATGACAATGAATGAGATGTCATTCCTCTTGAATCTGTCGTTCCAGACATAATAAATCATGACCTTCTGATTCAAAACGACCTATGCAATTGATTTCAGTTCACTAATGCCTAGAATATGGTTCTTTATGGGCTCCATTTCATTTGTTAAAATTCATTTAATTTTAATAAATCATTTATTGGGGACTCTTACAGCTCTTATAACAATCCATACATCAATTGTATCAAACACATTCGTACATATATTGCCATCATCATTTCCCAAACATTTTCTTTCTACTTGAGCCCTTGGTCTCAGCTCCTCTTTTTTCCCCTTCCTCCCCGACCCTCCCTCCCTCCCGAACCCCTGATGATTCATAAATTATTTTTATTTTCATATTTTACACCATCTGCTGTCTCCCTTCACCCACGTTTCTGTTTTGTATTCCAAGTTCTGATTAATGTTTACCGCTGTTTCTCCTCCTCTTGAGTCCTGGCCCGTCAACAAATGACGGTCTCAAAGGCTTTCCTCCTGCAGCCTTTGCTCCATCCACCTCATTAGGAAAGATTCTACTTTGAGAAGGCAGCTCCTTCCTCAGTTATATTTTTAGCACCTTCTGACCCAAGGGGCTCATCTTCTGGTTCTATCTCTGCTTCTTTTCATGAGTTTTTCAGTGTCTGATGATATTTCAGTGCTATCCATAAAGTCTTCAGTGGCTAATATATCACCATTCAATATGAACATCTTAAAATCACTTTGATAGAGTGACCCTCAACTGGGTCAGTTATTCAAGGTAGGGGAGAAGGAGAAGATAATTCAGTTGCTGCCATACACAGTTGCATTAAGGTCACCCCAAATCAACAGACAGTCCTACCAGAGTGGTAGTCGAACCGTACTGGAAATTCAAGTCCAGATGAAGGCAGGGGGGCCTGCATGTCTTGGAGATGGGGAGTACACCTCTGTTGATAGGAAAATGGGGAGAAGCAACCTCCCTGTGTGTGTGGAGGGGGGCCACCCTTCACAATACGTATATAGAACTCAAGGGGAGAAATATACCTGGTAATACGCTCCGCATTTAACACTCTTGGGCTAGTTCCTACCAGTCATTGGTGACTCAGACTATGTACTACAGAGTCCTAGAACTTTAGATTGTGTTCTTTTGGAGTGCACATCCTTAGGTTACATCAGAAGGACTTGATATGGAAACCTCACTGAATGAACTGGGCTTTATCTCAGACTCATCTGGAGCCCTGGACTTGAGGCTGAAACTCCCTATTGTGCAAAAAGCAGATGACTGGTAGCCCGAGGGGATAGAACTGGAGGCTGTTAGACTTGGGTTCAGATTTCTTGCCTTGAGGGTGCCCAGTGAATGGTGGGCTGGGACTAGAGTACACTTACATTGTAATGCCCTCCTTGATTGTGGGGTTCTACTGTTGCAGATGGATATTATTGAAAGTTTTGCCCTCTCACCACCCCCCATTGTTTGTATAAATAGTGTCCAATCACCTAAGAGTTTAATCTGCACAAGTCAACAATTCATGTAGTATTTTGGTTCGTAATCCCCTTATACAGTGTCCTTTTCTCAACTGTGTTTTAAATTCTATACCATTTGGCTAAATTAATGTCACTATCAATAGAATTACCTTATGCCCCAGGAGGATGATTTATAGTGCTCTCTAACATAAAATGACAATGAGGTCATTTTGTAATGACCTCATATATGTAAACCATACATATACAAATGGATTTGGGGCTCTCACTTCATTCTAACCCCTATCTAGGAGCAATTCATGTTTATGACATGGCCCTCATGAAGTGATCACTGATGATTCAGGTGCTACAGCAAAGTGTGGTGAAGAAACTAGATGGTGTCTGGCTATCAGAAAGAATCGTTTCTAGGGTCTTAAAGACTTGTCTTGAAGTTTTTTGATGTGAAGGAGAAATACCCTTATGAAGCCTCCCGTGAGTCCCTCTGACCACAGATCAGGGCTGTGAGTGGCCTCCTACCATGCAGAGTACATTGGAAAACAGAGTCTTACAGATGCAGCGATGTTAAAATTTAGTACCTGATCATTTGATCTCCCCTGAACGATTTAAAATGTGTTCTAATTTTTAATATTTTATGCTTTCTTTTTGTTTGAGGTTTTTCTCTGGTTTATTTGCTGTGTTCATTTATTTATTTATTTCTTTATTTGGTATGCTTTTCTGTATATGAAATCCAGGGTAGGTAAATCCATAGAGGCAGTTGCTGGATTCGTGGTTTCTTGGGGGCTATGTCAGCAGAGAAGGGAGAGAAAGGGAGAGCTAATAACAGTGAGTACAAGAAAGAAGAAATGGTTCTAAAATTGCTTGTGGTGGTGATTGTACAACTCTTCTTTATGTGACTGAACTATTGAGTTGTATGGCATATGAAATCTATGCCAATAAAACTGATTAAAAAATATTTTCAGTGGGTAATTCCTCAAATGTGGACAGCCTAGTCTTTTTTCGTAGACTCTTCTTAATCCGGAAACTGTACTGAAACCTGTTCACTTTGGGTGACCTCGCTGAACTAGCAGCAAGCAACATAGCTGCTGGCATCACAGCTGCACACAAGCCGCTGCAGTATGACAAACTGACAGACAAGTGACAGAGTCCACCACAGTGAGCGTCATTAATGTCACGGAATGATATACTCAAAAATTGGTTAAGGTGCAAACTTTTTGTTATAGATACCTACTTTTTAAAAACCCATTAATCCCATTCCTGTAGAGTCAATTCCAACGTGCTGTTAGTAGCCCACTATGCCATCAGAGCCCCACCTCTCTGAAGTTGGGGAAAATGTACATAGAGATTTTCAGAGTGCGCTGTCCAAGTTAGGAGAGCTGTCACAGAATTCTGCACAAAGGGAGAAGGTACCAGTGATGTTTCCAAGGACAAAGGGGGGCACGGAGAGGCTGGAGGTCGCCGCTCTCTCCACTCACCTGGAGTTTGTGAATAGCTCTTGTTTCCCTGTCCAGGGCTTTGGTGTAATACAGAAATCCATTTGGTTGTATCTCAAAGATTCCATCTGTCTCCCCAGTTAGTTGGAAATTCACAGCAGGAGGTATGGATGTAAACTGAGAAAAATCAGTAACAAGATTAAGAAAAATGAGGTTGTAGAATTTGTAGAAACTCACCCATTTTGGTTCAAGTTTTCATTTGCACAATAGCTAAATTTAAAAGCCCTCACCTTTTAAAGTGATATATTTTATGTTTGCTGGCAAGTGAACTAATGAACATTCAAACTGCATTTTCTCTAAGAAACAATGTATAATTTAACTCAATACGTTAACTAAAAACAATCGATGCTTTAAATTGTAACTGGAGTTAGTTAAACTCTGGCTGGGAGCTGTGAATATCAGAAAGCCATGGAAATTACAAAATATTAAGGGCAGATTTACTGCGAGGATTTTTAAAATGTCATTTAATTATTCTAAAATGTGTGGCAAGATTAAAAGACATTTTAATGTTAAGGCAAACAATTCAAAAGTGGCTTCAACTTGAGATGACACTACATGATAAGCTCTTGATTTCCTTTTCAAAAACAAAGAAAATATCTCACTGCCATGGAGTCAGTTCTGACTCATGGGGACCCTCGCTATCAGCCACAGGTCAGCAGTTCAAACCCACTAAGATGCTGTAAAGGCTTGGAAACCCTATAGAGGCTCTCTTTGAAACAGAATCTACTAAATGGCGTTGGGATTGGTCTTGGTTTGTTCATGAGAAACTATATACTTTTAAGATCACAAAAATAGACTAATGGCACAAAAACAGACATAAAAATAAATCAGCACCATTAATAATAAAAAAAATTAAAATGACATGTTACTCTTTTATATATTTTTTACCGACAATTTAAATGACAATCGCAGCCAATGTTAAGGATATAAGAGAACACATATACTGTTCATGGAGATGTAAGTTCGCACAATAGTTTTGGAAATAACTTGAGGCAAAAAATGTCTGTAGCCATTGATAATAAGAAGCATTCCATAAAATTTACCCTAAAGAAATATTTTTAAACAACAAACTATATGCTTGAAGTATAAGCAGCATTGCATTGTGTATAACAGTCATAAAATCGAAAATTCCTAAATGGTCAAAAAAAAAGAGGAAGATGAAATATCACAGCACATAAACTTGGCAGACTATTAATCATTAAGCTGTTTGTTTTTTCCCCTATAAATTGTGAAGCAATGTAAGAAGCAATAAGCTGGACAGCGCAGAGGTAAGTATCAAGGTCCCTGCACAGGAGGAAATTAAGGAAATCCTGTCTGAGGATGCTAGGTTCAATTTCTTACAATACCGACCACTCATTTCTCTAACTTAGCTTCTGCAATCATCCTTGATAGCGAGATATGCCATGCTTCTGTTTTATTTCCTACTTTCCAGCTAGATAAGGGAGCAAAGTCCACAAGAGAGAGCATGTGGAATTGAGTCAATAGTGTTTAAGGGTGGCCCTTACCTGGAAGATTAGTTGGGAAGGTTCTTGACCTTCATAAATAGAAAATACCATGGGTTTCAGGTGTCCACTAAACTTCCCTTCTTGACCATATCCAGTTGTCTGTAAAAAAAGAAAGAGAGAGAAAACTAACGTCATTATTTATTGTGATGTATATATGGCTTAGTGTTTGTACCAGGGTTTTCAGAACTGATAGATGAGACATAGGGTTCTATGGTGGCCCAAAACAAGGGGGATACTTGCCCAAATCGGCTGAAATGGGTCTGAAATATGTTAAGGCTCTCCTGTTAAGATGATTTGATCTGGGCTCTGCATGGCTTTTTCTCATTTAACAACCTCCATCTGTCTCCCGTGGGAGATTCCACCATCTGTGGAGCCAATAGTATATCCCGGAGGATCTCCCACAAAGAGATTGCTCAGGAGGTTACGTGAGAACAGCAATCCAAATCACAGAACAAATCACTTTGATACGGGAGAGCCTAAGCAAATATGAGATCCATTCCTGCCTATTTGCACCAGCGTCCACCTTGTTTTGAGCAAGGATTCTTCAGGTTACAAATGAAGGAGAACCATGGTAGCCCAGAGTCTTAAGTATTGGGCTACTAACCTTAAGGTCAGTGGTTTGAACCCACCAGCTGCGCTAGCAGGAGAAAAATGAGACTGTCTGTTCCCATGAAGATTTATACTCTGAAACCCTAGGGAGCAGTTCTTCTCTGCGCTCTAGGGTTCATCAGTCTAAGTCAGGATCAACTGAATGGCAGTGGGTGGGGTTACTCATGAGGTTTGGAGAGTTTAAGGTAATTACCCAGAGTAAAATATCCAAGTGGTTGATGCAGCACTGAGTAAAAGCGTGCTCTTTTCCCACAAGGTCGTCCTTCACCCTAACATCTACCAGATTTTATGCTGGCTTTCTCGAACATCTTCTACCACCCCCATTCTTTCATAAGGAGATTAATGGCAGGTTCTCAGTGCTCTGGAGTTCATGGCTACTTCAATGACAATTAAATTTATGAGGGAAAAAGAAACATGTGTGAAAATATGTTACATACAATATTTGGCACATAATTATAGCATAAAATTTTGACCAAAGTTGAATCTGAATTTGAACTGACACAAAAAGGAAAAAAAAAAAAAAAGAAGAACATAAAAGAATTATCATTTTATTTGTGATTTATACTTTTTAGGGGCTGGAGAAAGCACAAGATGTTTATTTTCAACAATAGTCCCATAAAGGTTCTAAAATTCAAATACCTTAAACTTGAAAGCCAAACCTAGTCTGGAAGAGTAAGCTAACATGCAGCATCCTGATCAACAAAGAAGGTAGACGTTGTCACCGGTCTCATTTAATCCAGATCCACAATCACCACTCATAAAAGCAACAGACCAAAAACAATTGAATGACACATTGCATTGGGCAAATAGACTGCAAAATCCACTGCCATTGAGCTGACTCCAACTTATGAAACCCTCTGGGTCAGAGTAGAAGACTGCTCCCTAGAGCGTCCACAACTGTAACTATCTAGGGAAGAAGACAGCCTCATCTTTCTCCCGTAGAGCTATGTAGTGGGTTTGAACTAGCTGACCTTGTGGTTAGACCGAGCATTTAGTCCACTGCAGCACCAGGGCTCCTTCCAAGACTTTAAAGTGTCGAAAAGCCAAACTATCACTTTGAAGACTAACATGTGCCAGAAGCGAGTCATGTTATTTTCAGTTGCCTCATATACATGCAAAAGCTGGATAATGAAGAACTGGTGTATTGGAATCATGCTGTTGGTAAAGACTACTCAGTATACATGGACTGACAAGAAAATGAACCAATCTACCTTGGAAGAAGTATAACTAGAATCCTTCTTAGAAGCAAGGATGGTAAACATGGTCGTATGTGTCTGGACATGTTATCAGGAGGGATCAAAACCCAAACCCCATTACCACTGAGTCAGGTCTGATTCATAGCGGCCCTATCGAGTGCTCCCATGGCTGTAAATCTTTATAGGCGGGGATAGCGGCCTCTTCTCTCACGGAGCAGTGGATGGGTTTGAATTGCTGGCCTTGTGGTTAGCAGTCCGGTGCACAGCCAGGGTCCTTTGAGGATGAGCCAGTCCCTGGAGGACGTCATGCTTGATACAACAGAGGGTCATTGAGAAGGGGGAAGCTCCCCCAATGAGATGGATGCCACTGTTCAATTCATTTAGTATTGAACTCCAGCCTGGTAACAAGCATGAGAACGGTACAGAACCAGGCAGTGTTTTGTTCTGGTGTGCTTAAAGTCTCTTGAATCAGACTCAGCTTGATGGCACCTACAACAGCTACCTTGTTGGACTGGAAGAAGACTTCAGGGAATGCTTTTGGTTTAAGGCTCCAAGATTATCTCAGAGCCACAATTTCGTGGCTTCCTTCAGTCTTATTGGCTCCTGAACATATGGATTCCATGAGAATTTGAAATTCTGTTTCATATTTTACCTCTTTTGATCAGGGTGTCTTTTTATTTATCTAGAATATTTTGGACAGTATTTAGATTTTATGCCTGTGATCACCACATGAAGAAATTTAATACTAGCATGAGCTGCATTAAACCTTCATTGATATCTCACTGTGCTCAGCCCAACACCCCCCACCCCCCTCAGAACAAGTCACCCTCCCAGGTACCCACCCTCTTCCTTTCAGTTCCTCAAGTCTGCCAATGTACGTACTCCTGCCTCTGGGACTTTGCACCCGCTGCTTCCTCTCCCTGGAATGTTCTTCCTGTCACTCTTCAAATAATACTCTTTTTAGTCCCAGGTGTGAGCTCACACATTGCTTTGTCAGAGAGTGGTCCCTTGATCCCGCTTTCTAAGTATTTTCTTCATCTGGTCTTATTGGGTGCCCCGGTAGTGTAGAGTTGGCCTGCGATCTGCATAGTTGGCAGTTTGAAACCACCAGCAGTTCTATGAGAGAAAGACTAGGCTTTCGATTCCCATAAACAGGGGAATTGAAAACCCACAGGGGGTCACTATGAGTCAGCATTGACTCAATGGCAGTAAGTTTGGTTTGAAGTCTTATTCATTTCCTGCATAGTGTTACTTCCAATTAATGTTTATTTATTCACCTGCTTCTTACTACCTTCTGCTATATGCACTGTTGTTATTTCAACTCATATGACTCCATGTGACAGAGTGAAAATTCCTCCCAGGGAGTTCAAGCTGTAATCTTTCAGGGAACAGATCACTAGGTCTTTCTCCCATGAGTTTCTAGATGGATTTGAACCACCAAACTTTCAGTTACCAGCCAAGTTCTTAATTGTTAACTCTAAAAAAAATAAAAAAATTTTTAAAAATTGTTAACTCTATCAGGGTTCCTCTGTGTGTACTAGGATCTAATCTTCCCTGTCTACCACTTTATGAGAAATATGTGGAACATCTCAGATACCCAAATAAATATTGTTGGGACATAAAAAGAAATAATTTAAAATATTATTTTTATTGCATTATTCTCCATATTATTCATACTAATGAGCTCAAAACTTATGTATACTGTTACTCCATTTTGTACATATATTTACATATTCTCTGGCATGATATTATTTACTTAATAAGCAACTATTAACAGTGAATATCAGCTTTAAATCTGGAATGCTGACTGCATATTAATTCAACATTTATAGACATATATAACAAAACTAAAGGTTGAATTATATATATTATAACCAATTGTTAACATGGGGATCCAAGTGAGGAGTTCACAATAACCGCACACCCTCCCCTTATTTGTAGCATTTCTACAATGATGATTTATCACTGGGATTATTAGCAATACATATTTTAAGTAAAGTTAAAATGTAAATTCTATAAAGTTTCAAAGTATTCCCCAAGTCTGAGGACTTTGAAATTTGGTCTTCTCTCCCTCAAAATCATGTGGATTTACCATTCAACATCTTTTTCCTCCTGCTTCCTTCCACCACAGAAGCTAAGGAACCAATGGCCTCTTTCCCAGACTTCTTTGTAGCTAAAAGGATGGTCAGCTGACCCAGTCCCAGGTGGTTAAAAAAAACAACAACAGGGTGGGGTGGGGAGAAGAGCTGATGCCAAGGGCTCAAATAGAAAATAAATGTTTAGAGAATGAGCATGGCAACATATGTACAAATGTGCTTGATACAATTGGAGGATAGAATATTATAAGAGCTGTTAGAGCCCCCAATAAAATGATTTAAAACGGGGTGGGATGGGGGAGTAGTCTAAAGGATTCTAGTCTAGTTGTTTCCTGATTTAAAAAAAAAGACAAATATAACTGGTATCTTCCTTCCCCCATTCTCTTTTTGCTCTGACAATGAATCTTTGTCTCCAGCTGTGGCAGCTACTATGAAACCACTCAGGGACAAGCCAGCTCAAAAGATGGTGGAACCACTCACTGTCTCACTCACTCACTGCCTCACTCTCACTCTCTCACTATCTCACTCACTCACTATCTCACTCACTCACTGACTCACTCTCACTCTCTCACTGTCTCACTGTCTCTCTCACTCACTGACTCACTCACTCGCTGTCTCTCTCACTCACTGACTCACTCTCACTCTCTCACTGTCTCACTCACTCACTGTCTCACTCACTCACTGACTTACTCTCACTCACTCACTGTCTCTCTCACTCACTGACTCACACTCACTCTCTCACTGTCTCACTGACTCACTGACTCTCACTGACTTACTGTCTCTCACTCACTCTCACTGACTCACTGTCTCTCACTCACTCTCACTCTCTCACTCTCTCACTGTCTCACTGACTCACTGTCTCACTGACTCACTCACAAAAATAGAAAAAAGAAGGAAAAAAAAGATGGTGGAACCAAGAGATAGAGGAAGTCAAAGTCTCTGAGACTACCACATAGCTGCTAAAACTGTCTTGGCTTTTTACTATCTGAGAAAAATAAACTCCTACCACGACCCTCTGAGACAGACCCCCAAAGGAAGGTGACCCGACAGCTTGTGGAAACAATGTCATTAATACCACATGCAGTTAAAATTTTGCTGAAGATAATTTTTAAATGGTTTTAGTAGTGCATTGCCAAAGAACTACCAGAAATTCAAGTTGGACTCAAAAGAGAACACAGAATGAGGGACACTCTTTCTGATAGCAGATGAATCTTCATTGAAAGCAGAAGTACTAGAGATACATTTATTTGTGTTTCATTGACTATTCAAAGGCATTCAACTGAGTGTGTCATTACAAACTATGGATACCATTACAAAAAGTAGAAATTCTAGAACACTTCACTGGGCGCAGGCAAATCTGTATCTAGACCAGAACAAGGATTACGGGAAAATATAAAATCAGGCAAGGACAGGTTTATATCCTTTCACCAAGAATTTTAGTTTATAGCTGATCATCAAATAATCCAAGCAGCTGGGCTATATGAAGAAGAATTTGACATCGGGGTTGGAGAAAGGCTGACCTGAAATCAGCAATATGCAGGTGACACAACCGTGTTTAATGAAAACACAGAGGACTTGAAGCACAAACTAATAAACGTCGATATGGATTACACCTAGATGTAAAGAAAAAAATTCTTCACAACTGGACCAACAAACATCATGATAAATGTGGAAAATAATGAAGTTGAAATGTTTTTTTTTTTAAAAAAAGACAAAGGAAAAATACATATTAATGGAAAGTCTCTATAATGTAAGTCTTGTCAATTGTCTTTCTTAGTCTATAAGTCTTCTATTAATTTGAACTGAAAAGAATGAAGTTGTCGATTATTTATCTTATTTGGGTTTGCATCCAATGCTCATGGAAAAAGTAGTCAAAAATCAAATGACACAGCATGTTGGGCAAATCAACTGCAAAATCAACTCTTCAATGTGTTAAAAATCAAAGCTGTCACTTTGAGGACTAAGGTGCATTGAGGCTTTCTCTAGTTCCTTACACGCATGTGAAAGCTGGACAATAAAGAAGGAAGAATCAACAAAGGATGCATTCAAATGATGGTGTGGGAAAGGAATAATAAACATATCGTGAATTCCAGACCCGTGAACAAATCTCTCTTGGGAGAAGTACAGCTAGGATAGGCTTTAGAAATGCCAGGCCTTGTTTTACGTACTTTGGACATGTTATCAGGAGGGATCGGTCTCTGGAGAGGAACACAGTGCTTGGTAAAGTAGAAGGTCAGAGCTAAGGGGGACCCCCCCATGAGATGGGCTGGTGGAAGGGCTGAAACACAGCAACAATTGTGAGGCAAGTGCAGGCCTGAGCGATGTTTGTTCTGTTTTTCATAGGGTCTCTGTGAGTCAGACCTGGCAGGACGGCCCTAACAATAAGTCAGACAGACTTTCTATTGCTTGTAGCTAAAAACAATTTTAACCGAAACACAAAAATCTCTAGCCCATCTCCTTATTTCTAAGTTTATCTTCCTCTGGCACCTTATCCTCTCTGCCACATTTTTCTCACCTCTTCTCTCAGCCCATTAATTCTGGAAAGCATGGGCCTGGCACAAAAACTGAGGTCAGGGTGCCACCGTGGTTGGCTCAAGAGAAGGGCAGGACTTTCATTAGTCTTCTGCTTACATCAGCAAATATCAGCTTTTCCATTTCTCATACCAGAGGAAACTCCAATAGGCAGGTCAATTTCACAAACAAGCCTGCCTGTTTCTATGTAGATAACTGTCCCACCTCTCAGGAAAGAGTGATGACTGGAGGATCATGGTCTCAACTGTAGAGTTCAAAGTTGAGCTCTCATATCAGGTCAACACATCTTTCTCCCTGCCCTTTAACAAAGAGACCTGAGCTGTAAAGATTTCAAAGTGCATTTGTGCAGTATGAGTCATCACGCGATAATGCCAAATCCTGGAAGAATAGTGGTGGAAACTTGGGAAATATCAGGATGGTGGGTTTATGCAGGAGCTGGACAGAATATCACCTGTCCTCTTGCACAAAGAAGTGAAAGAAAAGGGAGGGAGCTGACTTGAGACTCTCCTCTGTGGCAGTGAGTAGAAGGACCACCCCTAGTACACATCCTTCCTTCTGTACTGCGTAACAATAATAGCTGGGAAATATCTCCAGAGAAACCCCACAGCAAAGGGAAAATGCTCACAGATAGTGCTGCAGCAAGACTGGAACCTACTTCTGATGGCCACTAAGCCCCAATTGTTTTAGCACATTGCTAAACAGCCTTCCAGGCCATCAATGCCATCCAAACGCCCTGTCATTGAGTCAATAATAACTCATAGTGACCTGCCCGGGGGAGTGACCAAGACTGAAACTCGATGGAATTAGAAAGCCCCATGTTCTCCCGAGGAGGATCTGGTGGTTTTGAACTGCTGACACTGTGGTTAACAGCCCAACACGTAACCACACGGTATCAGAACTCCACCCATGTAGGCATAAGCACCTAATACTGAAGATACTTTAGTGACAATAATAACGACCACTTATTAAGACCTTACACTGAACACATCTCTGATCCAAAGGTCTTTGTATATGCTTTATCTCATCTGAATGCTCTAACAACCTCCAAGGCAAGTACTACTTTTCATCCCATTGCACAGGGAAGAAAACTAAGGTCCAAAGCTTAAGTAACTCACCCAAGTTCTTATCAATAAGTGGCAATGCCAAGTTGGCAACCAGGTCTGACTTCACCACCAGCCTATAATAATGTAGATAGCAAAGGTCAGCTGGAAGGGAGCGAAGAGAAGAAAAGGAAAAGGGAGATGTTTGCACAGAGAGGTGGGAGGGAGGAAGAGTCTGGCGACCAAGTCTTGAGTGCCCAGTCTGTGAGAACGCACACTGTTCATAAAGTGGGAGCTGTAGCGTTTCTTCTTTGGAAAACAGATTTTTGTGGTTTACAAGTTTGATTCTATTTTGCTAGGGAACTCTTTTGAACTGGGTGAACTCTTGGGAGATCTCTGGCACATGAAATTTGGTGTTGTAATTTTGGGGTCCATAAAGAAAGGAAGTAAGACTTGAGGTGCGAGGGCCTAGTCTCTTCCTTGTCAGGAGAAAGCAAGCGCTTCCCACAAATTTGTTTCACAATACCACAACTTATTGGCTTAGTTTGGCAAATCCTATTATGGCTTTCAAGAACCTTATGGGCAAAATGGGGATGGCACCTTCCAATCTACCCAAGTTGAAGGCTGGATCTCTTTACCAAGTTGAGGGCTGGACTAGATTTCTTCCAGTCCAAGCTCTAGAAACCAGTCAGTTGATGGAGTTGACCTTCCAAACAGTTAAAGATCAATTCAACCAGAAAACTCCTGATCCAGAAGATCAAACCATATATGGGAAGAAAAGTACAGAGCAGAACAGAGTTGAAATCGAGACAATGCTTTTCTTAAAGCTTCACTGGTCAGTTTTCATGGTCAAAGTTAAAAAAAAATTATCAAGTTGTCAAGGGGCATAGATAAGCACATGGGCCAATACACTTTTCGTTCCAGATTCTCTGAGCTCTACATGAAGGTCTAAATCTAAACAAATAGATTTGTTTTGAACCTTGCCTGTTAAGGGTTGTTGGCTTTTAAGAGCTGAGGAAAAAAGAACCTCTACTGGTTGTGGGAAAGAGTTATGAATGTGATTTATAACCATTTTATCTAAAATACCACATAAGGGCAAGCAGGGTGACTTTCTTGTACATCAATTAAATTTTGAAAACCGTCGTTTCCATGGAGTGGTGTAAAAGGATATAAGAAAACATTCTAGTGAGTAGAGACAACGCCCTCTTATCTTACCAAACAAAGTGTCAGGAGAAACAAGGAGTCCAGATGGGCTTGAAACATCATGTTTTTCTTTATTCAAATGCCTGGGAATAAATCAGAGATAAAAATGACTGGTTACAGTGTATTCAAATCTTGCCTTTCCAACCAGGAAGGTTCAGTCTATGACTTTCCATTACAAATCTAGTAGAATGAGATCCGAAAAGACTACCCTCTCCTCTGTACGGAAAGACAATAGGTATAAATTTATGAGTGGAGAAAGATATATTTTATATGCCAGCATAAAAACCACAGTCAAATCAGTCATCAGTGAGCCAATCCCAAGTACGGGTGACACCATGTGCGTCAGAGTAGAATTGCCTTCCGTACGGTTCTCATGGAACGGTTCTCTCTTTCCGAAGGAGTCCTGGTGGAGTAGTGGTTGTACACTGGCTGCTAACCGCAAGGTAAGCAGTTCTATAGCACCAGCTGTTCCTCAGGAGAAAGACAAGACTTTCTGTTCCAGAAAAGAATTGCAGTCTCAGAACAGCACAGGGGCAGTTCTTCCTGCCCAATAGGGTCAGAATGAGTAGGAATCAACTTGAGGGCAGTGAGTTAGGCAATCTTTCCATAAGTAGATTGGCAGGCCTTTCTCTGGAGGCACTTCTGAGGAGATACAACCTGTCAACCTTTCGATCAGCGGCCAAACACTTAACCATTGCACCATATTACATCACCTAATTCTATATTCTGAGTTGGTACTAAAATTATGATGCTTCTGATTGACTACTGCAGATAGACATTCCTCAAATGGAAAGAACTCCAGAAATTACACAGTCTGTCACTCAACAATCTCATTAATCTTCTAGACGCTGTCGTTACAAATTATGCCCAAGTTTGAGGCGAGGGGGAACCTCTCAAACTCAAGGCCATCCAGTTGAGTCTGACTCGCATTTCCTCTACAAGACAGAGCAGAACTGCTCCTGTGGGTCTCTAAGACTGGAACTGTTTATGGGAGTAGAAATCACATTTTCTCCAGAGACATAGCTGGCAGATTCAAACTGTGGCTCGCAGCCCACCACATAAGCCACCACACCACCAGGGCACCTGGTAAGGAAATAATGCACTTCTTAAATTAAACCCACCTGTTCTCTTCTGTTTACTATCTTTCTTTGTGATTTGTGGCTTCATGTTTCAAAGAAACGATAATTTTCCTAAGATACGTCATGACTAGGAGATTTAAAATTCTTTATATCACATGCAGGGTTGTGGCTTACTGTAATATTGGATAACGCCCCCCCCCCCAAAAAAAAAGAGCAAAGGAATAACAAGTGCATTTATTTTACTAAAATTCCAATCATGGTATTATCTCTAGAGATTATTTTGCCTTGTTTTTTAACCTTTTCTACATTGAACATATATCACAAATATACTCAGCATATGGAATGTATGATGATTAATTCTCACCATTCTTGCTGCTATTGTTAGGGATAATCAAGTAGGTTCTAACACACAGGAACTGCATATGAGGGAGCAAACGGTTGCCCGCTTTGTGCCATCCTCACAACTGCGGCTGTATTTGAGTCCATTGTGGCAGCCACTAGGTCAATCCGTATCCTTGAGAATCTTTTTTTTGTTTCTCATGATGTCCTCCTGCAAGGACTGGTCCTTTCTGATAACATGTACCACGTATGTGAGACCGAAGTCTTGCTACCCTTACTCCTAAGAAGCATTCTTTTTTTTTTT